CAGCCATAGTACTAGTGATTCTAGTTAGAGCTCGGTAATCTCCCAGCCATAGTACTAGTGATTCTAATTAGAGCTCTGTGATCTCCCAGCCATAGTACTAGTGATTAGTGATTCTAGTTAGAGCGCGTTGATCTCCCAGCCATAGTACTAGTGATTCTAATTAGAGCTCTGTGATCTCCCAGCCATAGTACTAGTGATTCTAGTTAGAGCTCTGATCTCCCAGCCATAGTACTAGTGATTCTAGTTAGAGCTCTGATCTCCCAGCCATAGTACTAGTGATTCTAGTTAGAGCTCGGTGATCTCCCAGCCATAGTACTAATGATTCTAGTTAGAGCTCTGATCTCCCAGCCATAGTACTAGTGATTCTAGTTAGAGCTCTGACCTCCCAGCCATAGTACTAGTGATTCTAGTTAGAGCTCTGATCTCCCAGCCATAGTACTAGTGATTCTAGTTAGAGCTCTGATCTCCCAGCCATAGTACTAGTGATTCTAGTTAGAGCTCTGTGATCTCCCAGCCATAATACTAGTGATTCTAGTTAGAGCTCTGTGATCTCCCAGCCATAGTACTAGTGATTCTAGTTAGAGCTCTGTGATCTCCCAGCCATAGTACTAGTGATTCTAGTTAGAGCTCGGTAATCTCCCAGCCATAGTACTAGTGATTCTAATTAGAGCTCGGTAATCTCCCAGCCATAGTACTAGTGATTCTAATTAGAGCTCGGTAATCTCCCAGCCATAGTACTAGTGATTCTAATTAGAGCTCTGTGATCTCCCAGCCATAGTACTAGTGATTCTAGTTAGAGCTCGTTGATCTCACAGCCATAGTACTAGTGATTCTAGTTAGAGCTCTGATCTCCCAGCCATAGTACTAGTGATTCTGGTTAGAGCTCGGTGATCTCCCAGCCATAGTACTAGTGATTCTAGTTAGAGCTCTGATCTCCCAGCCATAGTACTAGTGATTCTAGTTAGAGCTCGGTGATCTCCCAGCCATAGTACTAATGATTCTAGTTAGAGCTCTGATCTCCCAGCCATAGTACTAGTGATTCTAGTTAGAGCTCTGACCTCCCAGCCATAGTACTAGTGATTCTAGTTAGAGCTCTGATCTCCCAGCCATAGTACTAGTGATTCTAGTTAGAGCTCTGATCTCCCAGCCATAGTACTAGTGATTCTAGTTAGAGCTCGGTGATCTCCCAGCCATAGTACTAGTGATTAGTGATTCTAGTTAGAGCTCTATGATATCCCAGCCATAGTACTAGTGATTCTAGTTAGAGTTCTATGATATCCAAGCCATAGTACTAGTGATTCTAGTTAGAGCTCGGTGATCTCCCAGCCATATTACTAGTGATTTGTGATTCTAGTTAGAGCTCGGTGATCTCCCAGCCATAGTACTAGTGATTCTA